TGCTGCTGCTGTCCTGAGAATGGCACAGGGCTGGACACACCTGCTGCCCACTGCTGCTGCTGTCCTGAGAATGGCACAGGGCTGGACACACCTGCAGCCCACTGCTGCTGCTGTCCTGGGCCTGCCCTGGGGCTGGACACACCTGCTGCCCACTGCTGCTGCTGTCCTGAGAATGGAATGGGGCTGGACACACCTGCTGCCCACTGCTGCTGCTGTCCTGAGCCTGGCACAGGGCTGGACACACCTGCTGCCCACTGCTGCTGCTGTCCTGAGCCTGCCATGGCCCTGCTCACACCTGCTGCCCACTGCTGCTGCTGTCCTGGGCCTGGCACAGGGCTGGACACACCTGCTGCCCGCTGCTGCTGCTGTCCTGGGCCTGGCACAGGGCTGGGACCCTCCCTGTGCCCCCCTGCAGCAGCCCCTGTGCTGCTCCCCTGCCCTCTGCAGCTCTGGCCAGCTCGGCTTGGGCTCTTTGCCACAGCTGGATGATTCTTCATCACGGACAAAATGTCACTTTTGCTGGGATTCTCTTTAAAATCCAAGTCCGAGGTGATCTGTGCCAACTTCTGGCTGTTGATGGTGGCCAGGGGGACAGAGTGGTCTTTGGGGAGCTTTTCTGTGGGCTCCACAAACCCCACAGTGCTCCCCCAAGAGGAATGATGGAGCTGTTGGAGGGTCAGAACACCTGGAGCTTTCTGGTGAACTGCACTGTCCCAGTCCAAACAGGGAGCCCGGAAGGGTTGAGCTGTTTGTGGGGGCTGTGGGAAGAGAAGAGTCAGAGATGGTGCTGAAAATGAGGGGTCAAAATGCACTTTTTTGTTATTTTTTAATCACTTAACTGAGGGGATTTGTGAATCTGAAATACACTGATCCTGGTTCTGTCCACCAGAGCCACAAATCCTGCCCTGCTCTACCATCACACCTCCTGCCACACAAAAACCCCCAGGGTCATGCAAAACTATGAGCAATTCTAAAGAAATCCATCAACTGCAGCAAGGAATGCTTGATGTACCAAATATAAAAATTAAACTTTACACTGATTCACTGGACTAAAAGCAGGAAGTAACTGCAGTGGCATTCCTCCACTGAGGCTGCCTCCACCTTTCCCAGGAGAATGGGAAACATCCTACATAAAAATGTAAATGGGGTAAAGCCTGGAATAGAAACATTCCAGCACTGCCTAATTCCTGGCACCTTCAGCCAGCACTCACTGGCTCTGATTTCCAATCAAAGGGCACTACACTCATACTATTTTTAGGTGATTATTTTTATTTATTTCAACATCTCATTGACAGTAAGAGAGATGGAGAGGGCATTTCAAGATCTGGAGTGAAAGGACCCAGGGAATGGCTCCCACTGCCAGAGGGCAGGGATGGATGGGATTTTGGGCAGGAATTGTCCCCTGGGAGGGTGACAGGGGCTGGGCTGGAATTCCCAGAGCAGCTGGGGCTGCCCCTGGACCCCTGGCAGTGCCCAGGGCCAGGCTGGATGGGTTTGGAGCAGCCTGGGATGGTGGGAGGTGTCCCTGAGCTTTGAGGTCCCTTCCACCCTGAACCATTCCATGATTCCACAATCTCCATTTCTCAAGTTGACTTCCTCTCTAATTTTCACACCTCCTCAACAGAACAAAAGTCAAAAAGTCTGGAAAGATGAAGCAAAACTCCAGAGAATTTGTCATGAACACAGTAATTACCCACAAAAGAAAGAAATGTCCCTTTTCCATGGGGATCAAGAACAAAGAGCAGACACTGAGCAGTCAAGGTCAAAGTCCCCCAGAGTCTTCTGTAAATATAAAGGGAAACACCACATTTGCTTAACTGCAGTGAGGGAAATGGAGATGAAACATTCAAAAACTCTTTTATAACAGTAAAGACAGTTAGTTAAGCACTGGAACAGATGGCCCACGGAGGCTGAGGGGTTGCTATCACCCAAAGTTTTCAGAACAGGTTAGAAAAACAGCTGGCTGCAATATTACAGGTACAAGTAATTCTGCCTGGAGGTCTGGATAACCTCCTAACATCCTTTCTAAACTAATTTTCTAAGATTCTGTGGGAAAAAAAGAAAACGCAGACAAATTTAGGTAGAAGACTTGAAAGAGCAGAAATTGGGAATACACAAAGTATTTGTTATTTTATTTCAGTATTTACTATTTACTGGATGTGGTTCAAACCCTCCTGTGATTTACAGTCCCTCCCTAGACCAGCTCTGGTGAAGAGAGTATTAAAAACACAAACAAAAACCTCATTATCCACACTGAGTGATCCATTCCATCAATTACCTGTGTCTGAGGGGGAATGTGCACCTCAGATTCCAACTGCTGAGCTGGACACCTCCACTCTGGCCTTGGTTTCCTTGCTGAAACCACGGAATTGCTGGATGGGAGTGGTGCAGTGTTCCCTTTGCTAGAGGAATATGTGCCATAAATTGCTTCCTTTGGCTTTGGGAAGGTGATGGTGTCTGTGTTCTCAGGGTCCAGCCTGCTACTGATCTCTCCTGTACAAATAAAACGTGCATTGCAGGTTTTATTTATTATTAGCAGTTGTTAATTGAATTATGTGGTAAATAGAGGCCTGACCATCTGGTCAAAGTCATGATTCCCAGCACCACTGGCTTAACACTGGGCAGAGCTTCAGATTTGGGTGCTTAAAATTTGAAGTGTGCAGGTAGGAACCCAGGAGGAGCCCAGAAATGAACAGGAACCAAACCCTCCCTGGGATGAAGAAATCTGATTCCTACCCAGTTGCAAGACACGGGATTTCCCTGTGCTTTATGCCCTGCAGAATTTGGTGAGTGCTCAGCACAGAGCTCTTTCCTTGGGAGGTAAAACCTGAGAGTGAAGCTGGAGGTGCAGCTGGAGGGTGTTTCCAGTGCTCTGTACTCACCTAGAGCTGGTTTCTTGTGCTGCCTGGGGAATTGAGGGAAAGGAGCTGCTCTGGGCAGGGCAGGAGGGGCTGGCAGAGCTCTCTGTGCTGCTGGGAGGATGAGCCTCTGGCCAGGGAGGCTCAGGGCACCTGCAAGAAGATGAAACTCCTGAGCAATTCCAGCTGGGAATGAATTCTTGGCAATGAAGAAAGAATTAAGCAAAGGCAGACCAAGTTCTGCATCAACACTACAAAAGCAGCAGTTTCCTTTAATTGAAAGATTCCTATCTTTCAACAGTCAATATTTTACCTTGAAGGAAGGTGAGCTGTGCCTATAAAATTTGATAAATACATGTAAGATATTGCACCAGCGCTAATTCTGAAATATGTTTGCATATCCATAATTATATACTTGTACAATGCAATTTAATATGCAGAATAGATGAGAATCAACTCTTGTAAAGCACAATATAACCATGCAATTACCACTAAAAACTGATTGCTAAAACAGCCCAAGCCTAGTTAAGATTAAACAATTAATAACCAGCTGTTAATGATGATAGCTTGAGTGGCATTTAGAGCAGAACCTCCACCATAGACACAATTCCTTGCAGCAGCAGCAGCTGAACCCTGTGGGCTCCAAGAGCTGGCTCAGGGTGATGCTCACAGGACACACTCACAGCCTCCATCACCCTACACCTGGAGCAAGGGGCTTAAAGCTCATGTGTCATGTCATGCTTGAAATCACAATTCTTGGAAGCCTGGAGGAGGTGGGAAATTCGATCCCCCAATATCTGCTGGAAGCAGCAGCACCCAGGGGCCTCTGGGACTCACCTTTTGGGGTGTCCTCTTCCAGCAGGGGTAAGGGAGAGCCCAGGGACACAAAGGCAGGCAAAGGCCAAGGGCTGCTGGCTGTGGGATCCTTCCCTGTCTTCTGACTGCACACCTGGGAAGAGACAGAACCTCCTCTGACACGGGGAGATCTGGGATTTACAGCTTTACAGACACTCCTCTACTCCTGCAGCAATAAATAATAAATAGAATTTGTGCTGTGACTGTTTCATTAAGAATTAACAGTGCACCACTCCTTTTATTGCTTGTGAGCATGCTACAGTATTGTCTGCTGTTGTTGCTTCAGTCGTTGAAAATAAAGTTAATTAAATTTAATTGATGCCTTGTGTACTATTTAATGAAGGAATCTCAGGAAGTTTGTATTTACACTACTCTCCTTAAAACTGAGCAGTTGTTTCTTGACAGAACAGTGTTAAAAAAGATAAAATGCACACACAGGCAAGGAAGCAAAAGAAAAAAGAAATACTTTAAAATATTAGCTTTTAATGAGTGATTATCAAGCTTTTAGTGCAATCCAAGCCATGGCTGGGATTTTGGAGCACTGTTGTGTCCTAATTATTGAATAACAGCACCCAGCAACTTTCTAAAAAGAGAGAAGGAACTCTCAAGAGGGAAATGAGAGAGATCCAAATTAACTATTCTAATCTTTCCTCCCCATTTGTCTAACAATGCTGCCCACAAGAGATAAGGGAGAGAAAATCTGCACTTTTTATCATCATAGAGAAGCTTTCAGAGCAATCCCAGGCCCTCATCTCAGTTATGGCCATTCTGGAGCATTCTGTTTTAAGGGGTGGACGTGGATGAATCCTCATGTCCTGCTGTTCCAAGAAAACAGCAATAACCATGGAACAAAGGTTAACTTTATGTCTGCTGCCATCTAAGTGACTTGATACTGAGAAAAGGAAATTATAAACCACATTTCCCCAGCAGTCTGGTGAGGCCACAACAAAAATACATAAAAGGCAAGAAATTCAATTAAACAGTGATTCCTCTTCCAGACTGTTGCTGGTGCAGCAGTAGGGCAGCACTGATTTTACTCCTGGTCAGTTTTATCCTAATTTAAATCCCAGTTAGGAGGTTTTGTTATGATAAACAGCACATGAAATGTATTTGTTTTCATTGTGTTCATAGAGATGTAATAAGCTGCAAGGAAAAGCAGTTCAGGTGCAGTGTGTGAGTTCAAAAGCAGCCTGGAGGCTTGGGGTTTTGATTTTTTTTTTTAAATTGGAGATAGATATTTAATTCTTTTTTGCTGTATCCATTAATTTCTCTCAAGTCCATGGCAGGTGTGATGTGAGAACAAGGGCTGATGCAACAGAAATGTAATTCCATCTCTCACTGACACTGCCCAGTGCCAGCAGGACAGGAACAGAGCGGGGCCGTGGAGCTGATCCACAGCAGCTCCCATGAAAATCCCACCCCATCCCTTCACCTCCAGCACCCTGGCTGCTGCACTGGCTCCTCCCTGGAGAACTCAGGGAGATACCAAAGCAAAACTGCCAAACTGCTGCCACTTTGGGAGTTATTGCCACTGAAATGGAGCCAACACAACTGTAGTCAGACCTCAAACATTAATATTAAAGTACTGCAAGAGAAAGGTTTTACTTTTAACATCACTGCTTCATCATGGGCACTTCTAAAATTCAGTTTTGCAGGGCTGGAAGGGAGCTCTTAAATTGCAGGGCAGACCAAGGCTGACTTGCCTTAAAATATGCTTGGAGTGTGCTAAAAAACTATTTTTTCATTTCAAGTGCTTCTGAGTGTAATTAACCTGGGACACAAGAAAAACAATTCTATTACCCTTTCTAAAGTGTTTTTCTCCTGTGGATAAACCTCTCTAAAATTTTTTTCTTTTTGCTTCATTTTAAATAGGGCACTTGTTGGAACACCACAGGGATTTTTCTGATTAGTTCTCTATTTGTTTTCTTCTTACCTAGCAATATTTAACTAGAACATCTTTTTTTTTTGTTGGTTTTTTGGTAAATATCTTTGTAAGTATTTTTTCCTCCAGTAAAAAAAAAAAAAAAAAACAGAGATTGATATTAAATACAGAGGAAAGAGGAGTTTGTGTTCCAAACCAAGAACAGAGAGGTGAGATTTGGTAAAGAAATATCAGAAAATCTGAGGGTTTGATAGTGATGGGAAAAAGGGATAAAACAGATTAATTTATCACTCCATCTATCTTCCCCAAACTGTCAGATTTGTTGTTCAGAAGTTCCTGTCAGGGTTTGATGGACACAGCACTCACCCCTATAAAGGGAAAGAGGAAGCACAGCAAAATAAAATCAATGGAACTAAGGTGACTTTTCAGGATGTTCAGGAGACTGTCAGGAAAGGGCTTGGAGAAGGTAAGTTTAACTTCCAAAGAAATTAGGAATTGCATCTTTAACAACAGATCTTTTGTTATCTTTACCTTCTCTAAGCTCCTAAAGTAGCCAGAGATGGCTCTGAACAGTCAATTTCCCACATATTTGGAACAATCAAGCTTTGCCCGTTTCCTGACCTCCTCCTGCTCTGTAGCTCTCCCAGAAACCCAGACCCATCAGAATTCCTCCCTAACAGGTGTGAAAGAGAACGAAGGGAGGACTTTGGTGCATCCCACACTGCTTTGTCAAGCAGGCCCCAGCAGCAGCACAGACGGGAGTGAGGCAGATAATCGCTGCCTGGAAGCACAAGATGTTTCCTGGTGGGCAGAGGGCCAGCTTGCAGCAGGCAGGATGTGAGGGCTCGATTCCTGCTTGGCATTCAGGGCCGAGCCTCCCTCCTCGCTGTCCGGAGGCAGCTGCGAGCAGCAGCGCGTGGCACCGCAGCCGGGCGGGGAACGCCGAGCTGGGCACCGACAGCTCCAGCGGCCCTGCCCACACCCCCGCCTTGCAGAGCCACGCTCCAGCTCCAATTCCACCTGACAGCAACTGGAGGAAAACTTCAAACAAATGGTGACCTTTCAAAAGATTAATTTGTTTACCAACAAAACGTTCTGCGCTTGTCAGGAGAGATGGGGGTGACCTTCACGTTCCCATTTCCAGGTTGAGGGGATGCTGACTGCACTCATCTGTTAGCTTAACTCTCTCTCAGCAATTATTTCCTTTTTATTTTTGGTGACAAGAGGATTTTTTTCAATCACTGTGCTGCTTATTATGATTCCACGCCCTAATACAAATGCAAGGAGCTTCTTTTGATTTACTGTAGTGTGACATCAATTTGTTTAAGTCTCATCCTGCCACCACTGCCAAACTCTGCTTTGGCTGTAATTAGAGCCACATGCCTGGCTTTAAAACACAATCAGCTCTGGGCCACCAAAAGACCTGGTTTTCTTCAACAACTTCCTCCAGTCACTTGAAATGAAAGGAATTTCCCTGCTTTGCTTTATAATTTTGAAAATAAATACACTTTCAGGGATAAGCGTTAATGATTAGCAGCATGCAAATGCTGAATAAAGAATGAATAATTGAAGATATGATTGGAATGGTTGTGCTCAAACAAGTGAGCTTAAAAAAAGCCCCAGAATCACTGCCATCACCATTAGAGGCACACTAGATAAGATGCAACTCATAAAGGCTAGAAATCATCACCATATTAAATTCTACCTCATGAATAAATGAAAAGGTTCCTAAGTTTACAGTATAATATACATTTATAAGAAAACAAGGACCCAAAAGTGCCAGTATAATTCTATAACAGAACAGCAGCCCTAGGAAAACAGAAGGTAGAGCTGTGAATCTTTTCTACATTGCAGCAGTGCATCAGAATTATTTTTGCTGCAATTCAGATTACTGTTCCTTTGGCTGGAAACTCCATGGGAAGTATACATATTTAATAATTATCCACTCCTCATTTTTCATCTCTCATCCAGATATAAGCTGCAAAAAAAAAAAAGTGATGCCCAGTATGTGTTTCAAAGAGAATTACAGCCCTCATTTTAAAATAACTACAGAACCTGGCAGAGGATGAAGCATTATTATTAGGTCCAAAAGGGCAGCAGTTAATTGTTCTTAGTTTCTATGATAAAACCCAGCATCAGCAACTTTATAATACCACAAGAGCAAGAAAAGACATCATTTTCGGTGAAACAATGAAATCCTGACTAATAATTTTTCCAACTAGTAGAATGGCAGGATAATAAAAAGTCCGGGTAGATTTGTGCTTTACCCCTCAGGTCACCTCCAACCCCGACTTTTCAACCTCGCAACTCTTTCAACCGCTCAGCCCTGGTTGGAAAGTCCTGAATGGCGCGAGACAAGCAATTAGTTTGGAGTTTAATTTGAATTTGCTCGGCTGAGGGCGATTTTTGGGGGGTTTTTTTTGGGGAGCCGCTCGCTGACCCCGCGGGCACCGGAGGGACCTGCGCGTACGGACAGCGCCCCCTGCCGGCCACCCCTTCCCGCAGCCGCTTCCATCCATGGACATTTTACCCAAATTCACCCGAAATGCTCACCTGAAGCTGCGCGCAGGTTCACTGGCCTTACCGCTAATAATCAGATGTGTAATCATATAGATCATATAAAACCCCTCCTTAAGTGCTCCCTTTAACAACAAACATATCTCAGCAAATATCAGTTGCAAAAATTTTACAGCCAGAGAAGGCAAAACTTGCCAAACCACACGTTGTGCCCTAAAATTTTGAAGAGAATAAATTGGAGAGGAAATACATGCTTGGTTTTTAAGCCTGTCAGCTCCTCAGTAAGTGTAAATATGTATCTGGGAGCCTGAGTAACTCACATTAAATGTCTGCAGTTTAAATCCCCCATAAGTTTTCTGTGCTCAGTGCATGTTTCAGGGAGAGTGGTAAAACACATGGCTCTCTGCAGTCAGATAATATTCCTCTCTGTGAGTGTTTTAGAGTGGTTCTAAAAACCTATTAGCCATGATGCTTTATTCTAATTAACTCTATTATCACAGGGTTAGACAAATCACCTCTCAAGTCTGGGCAACAGCTTTCCAAAAATCATTTTTTTTTATAAGTGGCAGCTCACAACTGTGCCATTCGCAGATTCTCTTTATGTTGTTTAAAACCAACCACCCCAGAATCTCTCCTAGAGCACTGGGCTTGCTGCAGGATGCTTCTGTCACATAAATTAAATTTCAGAAGAGCATCCCCATGTGAGACCGTTGGCTGTGTGGACCAGAGTGCTGTGCTAAATTTGTGAACATAATTGATTTTTTGGAGGGATGGCTGTGCCTACTCTTTTTTGGGTTTTTTTTTAAAGCATTCTTTGCTAAAAATTTCATCTTTACATTTTACTGCTGCAGAACAATTGCAGAACTGGCAGCAGAACTGAAATTTGCAGTTGCAGGAAGGAAATTTGGAAAAATCAAAACTTCATCTTCCAGAATTTGAACACTCCCAGAGCAGAGAGAAGAATGGGATTTTAATTCTTGCTGCATCTTTGGGTCACATCCAGGAGTCCCCAAGCTCCAGCTGATCCCCTCTGCCTGATTTTCCTGACATTCCTGACCATGCACATCCCAGGTATATCCCTATTTTTGCTGGATTTGGATCTTTGGACATAAACCTGTTACATTTCAGATCTGTTTTCCCCAGTATCACCACTCAAAATGTTTTGATCTTTAAATACCCATGTCAAAAAGCAGGAAATTATGAGGAAATTACTTTCATGGAAATATTTTATTTAGGACTGATAAATGTTAACTGCAATAGTGCAAAGCAAAGCATACAATAAACCCATAAAATAATAAAAGTTACTTACAGGAGCAGATTTTTTCTTAGCTATAAGTGGCAGCCTGGTCTCATTGTTGGGATGTTTTAAACCAGCTTTATTCTCCACGTTCTCTGGGTCAAGCATGATTTTAAAATCCATTTCCACCTGCTGCTGAAATATGGAATAGGGATAATCCTAAAATAACTGCACTGGGACTAAAGTGTTTAGAGGCAGAAACTGGCTAACATGTTGTAAATTTGCAAAATAATTATAAAAATTGGTATTTTTTAACTCCACACAGAACTGGGCAAAGAGCAAAGTGCCTTTGTTTAGATGGAAAACTTTGTAGAGACTGAGCTATTATCCAAATGGACACATCAATGCAGGCACAGGACCCGATCATTAGTGAATGAGGAATTAAAAAGCCCTGACAGTAATCAGAATTAAAACATAGTTCTTAATGCACTCTGTGATCTGCATGGAACGAGCTCAACTATTCTGCTAATAAAAATCATGATCATTTAAATCCCAATGGGCAGAAAAAGACTTTACAAGTTTCTTCTTGTTATAAGAAATACCTAAAGCATATCTATAAAACCCAGAGGGATGCCCTATGTTTTTACTACAGCAGAAGTTTCTTAAGTTAAAAATATTTTGGTGCACATTCTTTTGCACAAAAGTAAAAATAAATCCAGGAAAATTCCAATTTTTCCAAATAAAATAGGCCATAAAAAGTTCAACAATCATTAGATGTGTACTTGAACTATTGAACAACTGTATTACTTTGTGAAAGCAGTAAAAATGCTTTAATTTATTTATCTGCACTATATATTCTCTCTTCTTTTGATGGTAATTACAAGCAGATGTATCAATGAGATGCTCATTTAGATTTGGGGTTGTAAGAACACAAGTTATTATCCAAGCCAATTACTCTTTTACCCACATGGCTGCACAGAGACAGAAAGTTCAATTTTCACCTCATCAGTGCTTTTGTGGTATTTATTTTATTACCATAACACACCGTTATGCAGGGAGGAAACTGCTGGTGCTATTAAAAACCAGAACTGGGGGAATTGAGCACCTTTCAATTAAAGCAGGAGATGATTCCCAATGCAGACTCCTCACTCAGGCTGACAGGGAAATGATCAATGCAGGGGGAAAGTGCCACACAGGATAACAAGAACTGGAATTGTTAATAAAAAACCACCTGAGAAAAGCAGCTTGGGTGGGTGGGGAGGGCCAGTTCCACCCTGCATGGATGACACTGGGATCTTTCCCAGCCTAAACCTTATCCTGGCCTGGGAGAAGGCTCCCATCTCAGCTGCTCCTTCTGCTGAGGAGTTTTTAACCCTTTCATCATGGGGTGCTATCAAACCCTGACTCCATGGCAGGCAGAGCATTGTGGGATGCTCAGGACACCCAGCACTCATTGATGTGCAGAGGGATCAGGCTGTGATTCCAGACCTGGGGGCCCTGGCACAGCCCTGGGGCTGATTTGCTGCTCCTCTGCACAGCCTGGGGCTCCACTCGGGGCAGAACCAGCTGCTGCTGACAGGCACCAAAAGGGCTCCTGCTGGGGAGAGAAACAGGCACTGAGCTTCCTAAAAACCACTTGGATTCCACCTGCTCAACCCACCCTGCTCTCAGCCAAATGACTGCATTGTTATTTAAACTTGCATTTGGCAGAAATAAAATCACACCAGTTAGCAGAGCACTGCTGAAGCCACTCAGAACTGCATTTGCACTTGTAGATTTTTGTAACTTAAAATCAAAAAAGGAAATTACTAAACTAACTTTTTCTAGGTCAATACTCCCATTTGCTTTTCGTGATTATGTCACCTCAGTTTTTGTGTCTTGCTGCAATAAAACATCTGTTTCACTTACCACTTAGGGGGCTCTGTGGAATTTACTTCTTTATTACCAGCTGAAGAAAGAGTTAACTCTTGGCCATCTATAGCACTGAAATAATTTTCAGCTTGTTTCTGTTAGAGGGAAAAATATGTTTATCTTATTACAAAGATATAAGGGATATTAATTTTATTTAACTTGGTTCATTAAGCAACCAGGTCTTTGCTTGACTGAAAAGTTGATAAACTTTGTGCCTCAGTTGGACTAAAAATCTGATTTTTAGTTAGATCAGTTAATTCTGATGACCCAAAAAAGGGAGCAATCATTCTGAACTGTAATGTCTGAGTAATCTCATCAGTTGCTGATTGGAAAGGGTTCTTGTAACACAACAAATAAGTGGCCCGAGTGAATTGTTAACACAGACTTAAAAAGCAGAATCATTTTCTGGATCTGCTCTATTTTCCTTACTCTCAGCCCAAGTTCAGTCCTTTCAGTTGCTTTTCTGAGGTCACAAATATCCACGGCTGCTGCATTTCCTTTCAAGTTGTTTTTTTCCATTTTAGGCTTCTGAAGGTTTTCCTGAATCTAAAAAGCAAATGAGGACAAAAATCATACCTGCAACCAAACCCTTTGGGGTCAGGGGGGATTTAACTCAAATTAAATTATTCCTAAATATAGGAGAAAAAAATCCACGCAACTCTGTACTCTCAGGATCTCATACTTTTGTACTACTATAATATTAATATTATAACTTAAATAAAAGAATACAAAGCCAAATACTTAAACTCACTGGCAGCAGAAAGGCTGGAAAAACTCAATTTTAAAACAAACCTCACAAAGCAGTGACAAACTTCAGGACTGAGAGTCTCCTCTTAAGGAACGATGTTTCCTCACGAATGGCACGGGTGCTTTCAGCGGGCAGGGATCCCAAAAGCCTTAAGGAGGGACACAAACTCAGGCAGCCTGTGAAGAGAGCCCAGCCCATGTCAAACCCGAGTATTCACGTTATCCAGGCAGCTCCGAGCTCCCCAGCCTCGCAGCACCCACAGCCCGAGCCCCGCTCCCACCCGCTGCCCCTCAGGCAGGACCGAGCCCCGCGCGTTCCCCGTCCCCTCACAGCACCGGCCGCGCCGCGCTCAGCGCAGGGATGACCCGGGGTATCCCGGCTGCTCTGCCGGGGCAGGAGAGGCCGGTCCGGGCAGGGAGGTGCCGGTCCCGGCGCTGTCCGAACCCACCCAGCAGCGCCGGCCCCGCTCCGGCCGCGGCCATGGCGGCACCGCCGCTCCCGGCAACGGGACGCGCCGGCTGGGCCGCACCATCCGTCCCGCCGCCGGGGGGGGGACGGCGCATCCAGCGGGGCCGAGCCCGCGCTCCGCCCGGTCCCTCCCCCAGCCGCCCCCCCCGCGGGCGGTGGTAGCGGCGCGGCGGAAGGGGCGCGGCGCGGACGCCATGGCGGCGGCAGCGCGGCCGCTGGCGCTGCTCACCAGCTGTGCCGCGGGCTTCGCGCCCGAGGAGCTCGTCAAACGTGAGTCGGGGCTGCCGCGGCGCCCCAGCGGGCGGAACCAGGGGCCGCGGCTTGCCCGCACCCGCGCGAACCGGGCTGGCAGCGGCTCCCTCTAACCCCGGCCCTCAGGGGGGCTGTTTTCCCCTCAGGATCGCCGCCATCCCCTCACAGATTCAATTTTCCCCTCAGGGTCTCAATTTTCCCCTCAGGGTCTCAATTTTCCCCTCAGGGTCTCAATTTTCCCCTCAGGGTCACCGCCATCCCCTCACGGACCCAGTTTTCCCCTCAGGGTCGTTGCTGTCCCCTCACGATCCCAATTTTCCCCTCAGGGTCACCGCCGTCCCCTCACGATCCCAATTTTCCCCTCAGGTTTTCATTTTTCCCTTTAAGGTCGCAGTTCTCCTCTCAGTTGTCCCCTCAGGACAGGGGGATCGCAGCCCCCGACCCCTGCAGAGGGTGTGAGGAGCCTCCTCAGTGCTTTAAGAAAATAATTCACCTCTTTCTCAGTGCGGAAGGACTAAAAAGCAAAGCTAAAAATTCGGTCTGTCCTGCAGCTGGTGGAATTGCAGCTTACACTCGGTACCGAGTACATAGAACTCATTCAACAGGAAGTGGTTTTCCTGGGAACCAGTTGCTGTTTTTCTGGCTCAAAAGGGGAACACAAGATCTGATAGTAGAGGAAACCGTGGTGCAATTTCTGGTATTTTAAAATTGGTGGATTCCAGGAAGAAGCTGTTCATGGCCTTGGTGGGTTGCCTATGTTAGGACAGCCCTGGTTTCTAGGGAGCTCATGAACAGTTTGCTGTGCACACTGAGATGTAGAATTTATCTCCCTCAAATCTTCTCTGGATTTTTTTTTCTCTCTTTCTGAGCAATTCTTATTTAGGACCTCACCAAGCACAGGGCTGCCCCTTTAATGAGGTGGAGGGAGCACAGAACTGGCTCCCTCCACCTCATTAAAGCACATTTTGAAACAAAAATAACAGTACAAGAAGCAAAGGCTTCTCTGTCAAAGCAGCTGCAGGACACTGAATTATTTGAAGATTCCACAACAAAAATATTATTATTAGCTTATTTTTGAGGAAGGTATAAGCAAATTGGAAGGAGTTACTCAAGGTTCCTCTAGGTTTCCCCTTTGATTACTTTGCACAGTGAAATGAAACAGGTAGGTGAGCAAAAAGCTACTTAATGTGAGAAAATCTTACAATCTAAGCTCAGATATTTTTAAAAGTAGTACTCACTTTGAAATATCTCAGCTTCCACTGCTCCCAGTTCCAAATCTGGAGTCTTGTCTGTGTGTCCTCTGACTGGGTTACATTAAAATCCTCCTGAAAGAAATAAAATCATTGGATAAAATAAATACCATCAGCATCTTAAGTCCCTGCTTTGTATAACAAGTGACATTAAATCCGAGGCAGCAGACTGTAAAACATTCAAGGACACACAGGCAGGGACAGGGCAGCAGTGGGGAAGGTTTGGTGAGGTGAAAGAACCTGCCAGAACTTTCCAGGCCAATTCCAAGACTTTTTCCAGGCTTTTTCTCCTGTTCAGTGGGAAATGCCTTGAGGATGAGAAGCAGCTGATGGTACACTTGCTAGATATATTTTTATTTGTTTAGGTTCCTCTGAATGCTTTAATTCATGGGACACTGGCAAAACAAAGCTATTTATAAGTGCTCAACATAGATCTGCCTGTTATTATTGTGATGTATTTGTGACAAAACTGCAAATAAGATTGGTTCAGTTTTCATTCTGTCTGATGTGATTGCTCTTCCTTTTCTTTCTGGATTTTTCCCACTCCCCTCCTCCCCAGCATATTTGGGTTCTCTTTACTCCTTGGTGTAATTCTAGGAGTATTTTTAATGGCTTATTCCACCAGGTGGCTCTCAAGGCCCAGAATGTGGGAACTGCTCCATGTACCTGACAGCTCTGAGGATTTGGGAGCATTTAGGGCATTGTGTTCTTAAAACATTCATTCAATCTGAAAAACACTATGAAAAGTGGTAAATATCTTAATCCCTTTGGGAAAAAAACCTGCAAAAAGAAGTTGTAATCATTAAAAAATTATTAATAGACACACAATGTGCTAAAAGTGCTGAAATACTACTTGGGTATTAGAGAACAGGGCAATTACTGGGAGAGAAATTTCACAGGGAACTGGCAAAATCTCAGCATGAAGGATGGGTAATCAGCAGCACAATGGGATGAAAGAAAACCCCTCAAAATACAGGAACCAGCAGCAGGTAATAGGAAATGGGACATGGCCTCATTCTAGCAATGCTTTCAGACCTCAATTTGTCCATGAACTCCTCTAAAAACCATCCCTTACAAGGCAGATGTGAATTTCATATCAGCTTTTGAAACCCTTTTCTGAGGGCTCTTTCCCTTGGTTTCCTGGTCAGGGTGACTGACTCAGGTGACTTTGGAGCTGATTTTCTTCCTCACCCCATTTTCCTCCCTAAGTCTTACTGCTGATTTTCTGGGTTTCAGTAATTTCTGTGGACCCTTTTATTCTTAGCCTCGTGGGGCATTGACCTGTAATTCTGTTAGCACAGACTGATTTTAATTTACTTATTTTTAACTGTCAAAACACTAGTAAAGGGAAATTAATATCATATTCAAACCAAAACCTCTGAGAATACAAAGCTCAGAACCCAGGTTTATGTCGTGGTGACTCAGATCTTTGTCCCCCAGCTCCAAAGTGAGCTGGGTAATCTGAGCAGGGAATATCATCTGATTAAAGATGATCATCTGAAATAATCTGAAAAATAATTGCCATCCAAAATAAATCAAACTTGAACCTGGAAAAATCATTTTGATGTGGCACTTCTTATTTTAAGCAACCCTGAGAGGAGACTCCTGTTTCATCCTCTTAAGGAGGAAATGGCTACAGGTTTCTGTTTCCAAGGTCACATTTCTCCCTCAGGGCTGCAAATAATCCTGGTTTACAGCTCTCCCTGCCTTGTGCCCGTGCTCATTCACCACATCCATTTCTCAGCTTTGCAGTTCAGTTGTAAAAATCACTGCAGCCTTGGCAAGGAGGCTTTCCTGTCTCTTTACTAATCAGATACAGATAAATTCAAATTCATCTCCAGACTATTTGGGGAACAGCCTGTTCCAGCAGCTCCAGGAACTGTCAGTACCTTAAAATACAAATCCTTGAAAAGCCATGGGCTTTATTCTTTAACTCTTCTCCTGCCCCAGGCAATTCTGGATGACTCAGTCCATTTTATAAATAATTGACCTGTGTTCCAAAGTGTCCACGAGTTCATCCAGCCTGAGCAAGATTTCCTGGCCTTTCCCCCAAGGAATAATGGGATGCTCTGCTCCCAGCCCTGCTCCAGCTCCAGGAGTGTTCCTGCCTTGGAGGGCAGAGCTTGACAGCACCTGAGCACAGCACTGGATTTTAATGGTGGAGCTCCTACATGGAATTTCATGGGAATTACAGCTGCATTGTAGGAACTGGGTTTACTTTCTCATTAGTTACCTTCAGCTCTTAGTCACAGTTAAACAGATCTTTACATCTCAAAGAGCATGCAAGGGTTGTAATAAAGCTTAGGTTTTCTCTCCATACATCCTGTTTACAGGTACTAAGTTTGAGGTTAACACTTAAAAGGGCATTTCCAGGAAAACAAAAGGCTTTCTGCAGTTCTGGGTCATATTTTATATTGAAAACTAGAAAATAAATTCTTTTGAAAGCTAAGCAGTAAAATCTGGGACAGAGTAACAAATTGAGTTGAATTTTTAAAGATCTTGATTATGCACTGGTTTATTATGTAAAGATGGATCTGCATTGGCTCTGTACTTTTCTAGACAAATGATTTTCTTGCTGCTGCTGTTCCTCTCCTCCTCACCCGTTTTCTGTCCTGCAGGTATCACAGGAACAGATGACCTTTCTGTGGGTGCAGTAACAAGTGGAAGAGTGAATTTCTACCCCTGGACAATAGATAACAAATACTATTCTGCAGATATCCATCTCTGTGTGGTCCCAAACACATTCCACGTGACTGCAGAGATCGCTGAGGCTGTGCAGGCATTCCTTGTGTACTTTGACAGCACAACAGTAAGGGCTCTTCTGCTTCATTCTCCTGCCTTAGCACAGTGAGAGCCATAAAGCAGAATCTCCACCCATCCCCTTTAAGCTGTTCTCTTCATTGGCAGAAGATCAATATTCAATACTAAATATTCAATTTCCCTGCTAACAATAGCAGCAGTTTCCTTCTCTCTCAACTCCTCTCCTCCAGCTGGAAGAGGGGTTTTCAGGAGCCATTATGCCACCATGGCAAATCCATCTGCCAGCTTTGTTCCTAGCTGCTGCTGCTTCTTAAAGGCCCCTTTAGGACAGACAAAACTTAGGGCATTTCACCCAAAATTGTTTCTACTAAACCAGCAGCAGTGAAAACTGGTAAAAAGCAGAAACCAGAAGGTTGAGACAAAAAAAGCCTATTTCTTTATATAATTCAATTCTAATACTGTTAAAAACTAAAGTATTGCAGGATGTATTCCAAGAACACTTTTCTTTTCCCCTGCAGAAAACTGGACTGGAGGGTGTCTCTGAATGGCTGCCCCTGACAGAAGAGTGGCTGCCAGAAGTGATGATCCTGGTTTGTGACAGGGTGTCTGAGAACGGTAGGAGAGCCAAAGAACTCCCACCCTCACCTAGAGCCATTAGCCTGCATAATAATTGACTTTCTAATTACATCAGCAATTACCTCTCAGTCTGGGTGAGACTGGCCTGGAGAGCTCAGGGGAGCAGCAGCTGAAGCCTTCAGTGGG